TATAATATTCATAGGTATGTCTTCCTGGTCCTTTACTTCATTATTGCAGAAGAAGCATACACCCTGTGTATCCATTAACACATAATTTATGAACTGAATGTCTTATTACAAATTAGCAGAGGAGCTGGTAGAGCCAGACTTGCACTTGTGCGTGAATTAACAGTGAATGGAAAGCCTAGAAATGATCCTGGGGACACGTACAGTGGTACTAGGGATACACATAATGGAGCATGATGGAGTTGAAGATATGGTGATGCTCAAACCTTTTTAAAAATCCCTTCTGCGCTCCATTTGAAGTCCTCCAATTCCCGCTCGCTTGGGCTCCACTCACATGCTCTGGTTTCTACAATACTCTAGAATTGACAAACCAAACGCTGGATCTAGATAGGGGCAGAGTTTCTCTTAGATACTTGGAAGGCGAGTGGTATTCAGTCGGTTACAATCTGCAACTTCACCGCTAGATGCCACTAAATCCCAAACACTGTTCCTTTAAGCTAACAAACACATAACAGACACTACTCTAGAGAACATGCTGTCCACTAAACTGTTAAATATATCTGAGATGGTACACTAAAGGAACATAGATACATGGAAGTCAGCACTGACACAGAAATATCAAGAGAAAGAGACAGGACACTGATAAGAGGTTGAAAAAATAGAAATATCTCAGGAGGAATGAGAGAAATAAAGGACACAGATGCCTTCAAAACATCCGGGTGCCATATGAGTATTATTATAAAATGTGTGTGGAGGATCTGAAGCCATGGGGTGGCAGGAAACAGTCAGTCCAGTTATATGACAGTATTATGAGTTCTTCTGTGAGATTTTGATGGTGACTGCCTTGACCTCAGTGTACTCCTGAAGAGCGTATTCCCCCCTGAAATACAAAAACACCACTGGTTATGTAAGGAAAAAACTTAATGAGCATGTGATGAGCAACACTTTCCTGTCAAGGTGCAATGTTACAATACCAAAGTATGAACTTACAAGTAGCTGTGTGGTGGATATAAATACAGTGAGTATAAAAGAGTATAAAATGTGTGGACTTGATTTGATCAAAATGTTAAAATGCTCATCTGAGTCTGCAGTTATTACTATGCACTAACAGCACTAAGCTTTATAAACAGTTGCGAGTGACTGCCAGACTTTTTTTGCCCGGTTCTGACTGTTAAGCAACATACAAGCAGCCCTACCGTCCTGTTAGGACTATCTGCAGCTTGTGAGGATGCATGCAGACACTATTTATCTGTTTTTATTTACAGATAATTCTCCGTAAAGGATGCTACAACTGATCACCACTTAAAGATAATACAGTTAAAGAACAGAGCTCTTTGTGGTAAATAAATAAAACTGAGTTTAAAGGTTTAAAGGACTTAACCTTTGACTTCATTGTGCATCCCATCAGCCACCTGAGACCAAACCTACACCCTTGAGTACAAGCCATACTAAACGTGAGATAACATACGACGGTATCACTCACAGTTCTCTCCCATTCCCAGACATCTTGAAGCCGCCAAAGGGACACTGAACACTCATGGCATTGTAGCAGTTCACCCTACAAGAAGAGGAAACATTATTTTTTACTAATTACATAAACTCAGTCATTTCACATGTTATTAATTAAAGGATGAATGTGTAAAATATGGCCAGAATTATAGTTTACGAATGTCATGTAAACAATGTATAAAGTCATGATGGATTTTGCAAGGTGTCTAACTGTAAATGATCTTGAACTGTGTCATTGCATCAAGAGTGAGAAATGCTGCCCCCTATTTTTGTGGAGCATCTGGCCAAGCATTACACGTTGCTACGTCTAATATCATTTTAAGGGTTGCTGTGAGGATTTGCTGAGCAAATACTTCAGATTTCCCTGTTTAAGCCACCAACCCAGGACTGTTGAAGATGATTCTTAGATGATTTGATCCCTACCAGACCATCCCAGCCTGCAGAGCAGAGGAGACCGTGAGGGCTTTGTCGATGTTGGTAGTAAACACTCCTGCTGCCAGGCCGTAGTGTGTGGCGTTGGCTCTCTGGATGACTTCATGGATGCTACGGAAACACATGATCTGCTGCACTGGACCAAAAATCTGGAGAAAGCGTGAGCACAGGAGGGAAAGCACACAGATGATCCACGTTTGTCATGTGCACCAGGAAGTGTGTTTGTGTCCGTGCAGGTGTGTGCTTTAGAACAGAGTACCTCTTCTTTGGCAATGCGCATATCGTCTGTGACATTTGAGAAGACGGTGGGTTGGATGAAAAGTCCCTGCTGACCCCACGCGGACCCCCCGCACTCCAGCGTGGCTCCCTCCCTCTTCCCGCTCTCAATCAGCTCCATTATCTTATCGAACTGCTTCTGGTCAATCTGCAGAGAACAGCAACACTCAGATGTTCTCTTGGAAATGGAGATGATTAAATAAAGGAAGCAGTCTGACAGTATCTCGTACCTGTGGTCCTTGGTCTACCCCTGGCAGTAATGGGTTTCCCAGGACTTTTGATCTGGCCTTCTCTACACTGCGACGGACGAACTCCTCGTAGATCGGCTCCTCTACAAACACCCTGGATCCAGCCAGACAGCACTGGCCCTGGTTAAAGAACAGACCACTGTGGGCCTGCTCCACTGCGTACTGTACTGCAAGACACACACACACAGATCAGTGCTGCAGCTACACTGCTGACAGGAAGAAGGGTGATACAGTTTAGTCCCTGTTTGAGCTTCACTTGCTTACTTACTTCTTATGAAGTAGTTTTTTAATGGTTTAAAGTTGCACCTACTAATATGTTTGAACCTTATCACCCGTCAGTGCTCTGATGGTCCTTCCACAGTCTGCACAGTCTTCTTTTACATTTTTAATTCTAGGCTTTTTGTGAACTTCATTCTGTGTATTTTATGGATTTAGTCATTTTAAAGCATTTGCTCTCAACAGTGTCATGTGCTGGATCAGACTTCTTTGTAATGTAATCAGTTGCTTAATACAAATTACATGTATTTTTTTGTAATTAGGAATATATTCTATTGGATTACAAAAAAATGTAATCTAATCTGAGTACTTTTGGATTACTTTGTATATTTTAGAGTTTATACAGAAAAAATAAATGCAGCCACAAAAATTTGAGTTCCACAAATATTCCTTTTTCTCTTTGAATATCTCACAAAATGTTCAATGCCAATAAATCAGTTTTGCATATTCAGGTTTTACAGTTGTCAAATCACATCAACATTTAGTATTTGACATAATTTAAAGACATAATCAAAAACTGAATGAAGTAATCCTTGAAAATATGGATGCATTGCTACCACTTACTACTACAACGACATACATTCTGGAACTTGCCGATACCATTACAGTTCTAACGTTGACTTTAAAAACCTGTTTTATTTTGATAAGATCTTCCTCACTTTCAGACTGTAAGAAATCAAATGTTGCTAATGTTGTTGTAAAACCTGCAAGTACATGAGCTCAGTCTATCATTCACAATGACAATGTAACTATAATCTAATATAGTTAATTATTTTTGTACGTAATCCTAATTACATGTAGGTAATAACTACTCATCACTGGAAATGACATACACTGTAACACATGGTGGATGTACACAATAACCTAACATTTAAAAAGTAACTATAAAGTAATCCAGTTGTAAAATAGAATAACAAATAAATCCACTCACAGTCACAGTCTGCAAACACAATATTTGGGTTTTTTCCACCGAGTTCTAATGTAACTCTTTTCAGGTTGCTTTCACCTGCAGCCTTCTGGATGAGCTTCCCAACCTGGCAACCAATGTGAGATAAGCAGTTACATTAGAGTGAGGGAGAAAATGAAATGACACTGAAACATAGGAAGAGAAGAGGCACCAGCTCAAACTGCTCTTCATTTTAATAGATACTAACAGCAGTGGATCCGGTGAAGGCAACTTTGTCGATGTCCATGTGGTGGGAAATGGCACAACCTGCTGTCTGACCGTAACCTGGCACCACGTTCACCACTCCTGGAGGAAACCCAGCCTGAACACAGAGAGACGGAGGGGGAGAATATATAATAACAATCCACAACACATACTCATCTTTAACTAGCTAGGTCTTTCTACTTTAACAGCTCTGCAGGTCTCACATGTTCTTTGTTCTTATATTATTGTTGGGGGGGCGGTAATAATCCAAGTACCTCTTTGATGAGAGCGGCCATGTGCAGCGCTGATAATGGGGTCTGTTCAGCAGGTTTGATGACTACAGTGTTCCCACAGCAGAGAGCAGGAGCAATCTTCCACACAAACATCATCACCGGAAAGTTCCACTGTAGGCAACAACAGGAGGAACTTGTACCATTAAACAAATATTAATATCTTTAATAAATACATTTCCTCTGCAGCAGGTACATACAGATACACAAAATATTCTAGTTATGCTTTACACTTCATAGTCAAGTTCAGGGTTTCACCTCAGAATTGTCTGTTTAAATACATTCATGATGAATGTACTAATTATTTAAGGATACAAAGTTATTTAAAACAGCAGTAGGTAACTTTCCGAAAAATAACATTTGGCATTTTTGCTGAAACTTTCACTATATCGTAGAGACTAATGAATTATCATTTGCTTTAAGTGTATCCAGTCTTTCTAGTGTTTCTACAGAATAAGTTTTAATACTCACAGGAATGATCTGGCCACATACTCCAATGGGCTCATGTCGCGTGTAAGTAAAATACTCTCCATCTAAAGAAACATTTATAGTTAATTCATGGTAGCTTTAAACACATTGTGGCTTTTAGTGTTTACGTTAAAACATCAGTGGTAATATCATAATCTAAATTTATATTTTAAAGTTGTGAGGAATCAGTGCCGGTGACTCACCTACAGGGATGGTTTTGCCGTGAATCTTGTCTGCCCAGCCACCGTAATATCTCAAGGTTTTGATTGTGGCCACAAGATCTACAAAATATGCCATGAGAAACACCTTGCCAGAGTCCAGAGCCTCTAGTGTCTAGTAATAAAAAAACAGAGTATTTAGTGTACAAGCGTGTAACAACACATTACATAATAACACCACATTATTTGCAAACTGCTAAAGTACACCTTTACGCAGACGACACAGTGACATTCTCAGTTACTCCTTCACTGAGCCAAACTATTAATGAGCTTCAGATAGCATTTCAACAGCTTCAAGTCTCTCTACATGGGCTCAAGTTAGTTCCTAATGCTAAGAAAACCAAATTCATGATATTTCCAAGGGCTCATTCTCAGGCCTCAGGTAACACAACTATCTACACTCTAAATGGAGACTCAATTGAAAAAGTGTCATCATATAAGTATTTAGGTATTTGATTGCATGATTTCTATTTAAACTGGTCTTGGCCAGTCTTCCTTAAGAAAAGAGATCTCAAGGGACTTTCTGGTTAAATAAACGTTCAATTAAAAAAAAATTAAGTATAATATAATAATGTAATATAATATATGTAATAACTCGACAAATCTTAACATTTTCACCGTTGTTTGGTAATACATTTTTACACATTGTGGTGGCTATTACCGAATGTGGGATTTTTTAAAGAACTGCATTTTGAATAAGATGAAGCTTTTTTATGGTCTTTTTGGGGATCCCCGTCTAAAGACCACTCCAGGAATCAACCCCTGCTACAGATTGGCATCTGACATAAAGTCCCTGAGTTTGGCTGTATTTGTAAAATAATAACAAGCTGATCTTGTTATTGCTTTTATGTGGCTTTTTAACTAAGATGGTTGACTAAGATCAGAGTCAAATATAACTACAAGGGGGGCACCACAGGTCATAGGAGTCTAATTTAATATTTTGTGTTTAAGTTTAATTTAGGTTCATTTTTAAAAATATACTCTCGTGTACGGATGAAGACATCAATTTTGGTTGGTTATTACATAATGCACCACATTAT